AAGGGAATTGATTCTCTGTATATATGAAATATAAATCACATTTTTCTTAAGACGAAAGATTTTTTCCAAACCTAATAGCTACCTAATAGAAAAGCTATTAAAATTTGTTCCGGAGCCGATTGTGAGTCCGACAAAACGGCGCCAGCGATAAAAAGGACGACGAAGGAAATATGCTCGACCCCGGTGCTAATGGAAAAATATTTTTGCGGTACGATACGCAGAACGCCCCGAAAATTTACTTTGCATATATGGGAATTTGTTACTTTGTATATGTAAATCGAGTTTTTCTTAAGACGAAAGGTTTCTCGACGCCTAGCGAAACTTAAAAATTTGTTTCGAGACCGCTCAGAATTCGATAAAGCGATATCTGCGACAAGAAAGATGAGGGAAGTCTGAAGGGAATATACTTGACCTGACGAGAATGGAAAGCGATAGGAAAACAGGAACGAACAGATTCGCACTAAATGTTTTTCTAACGAACTCGGAGCTCTTATTCTATAACAAACGCAATGTCTGAAAAATTTTTTAGATATTTCTAACTCGAAGCAAAGTAGCGCGTTAATTTTTAGGTTGGAGTGAAAAGAAAATAAGAGGGACAAAGACAGGAATTTAAGTTACAAAATCATTAAGTTTATTGTTATACTGTTGTACATATTATATCAATTCATAAATAAAAGTTACAAATTACGATTTGAGAAAATAATACGAAGAATTTCATTAAATCTCAGAGAAGTTAATTCCACAAATATTATATCGAAATACATATCCAGAAATGTTAAACTGTTTATTTGCATACGTACATTGCGCGTAATTTCCTTTCAAACTGAGTTTTACAATATCGCTATCTATGTAACTTTTTGGAAGGTTTAATTCTATTTCTTTTATAAGATATTGCGCGCATTTGTTAACATTATTGGTCACGTTTTGTAAATGTTTTAAGTGCGCGTCGACACATTTCACAATATTTTTCAAACCGTGAAAAGTACTCTTCTGCATCACAATTGCGACAGCATAGGTTTTACGCTTCTTCGTCGATGGCTGCGAATCCGTCGTTCCTCGATGTTGAATTTCGATATTTTCCATAGTGGCCTCTTCATTTTCTTTATATACCAGTAATATATATACCGTGACCCATAAGAGGAGATAAAGTTGATCGCAACATTTTTGACAATGATAGGATCCGGTCTCGATTTATTGTTAGCGTTTAAATACTCGTCGATAAGCCACATGTTGTTTAGGAATTGTTGTCAGGAATCAGTGTCGAAATAAATTCCTTCTGCATAATTACCGGTTAATTTAACCATTGGCACAAAAATTCCTTCGTTTGTCGTTTGCAATCCGACGTGTATCCTTTTCGTGTGAGAAATGTTGAGTCCATATGTTGTTGAGAGCATCATATGAAACTTATCGTTTCGTTCCTCGTTACAATTTTCCTTCGGAATATCGCAGATGTACTTGCGCCTCTCGGAATCGGGGACATTGCTCGGTTCCGGAGTATTACGCTTCTCGGTATCGGGAACAGCTTTTCGGCTCGCCATTGTTCCTATTTTCTTCTCAAATGTAACTAATAGTCACAAGCGTCGAAATGAGAGACTACTTCGGATTTACGAAGTTGAAACCTCGAAGGATGACACTCGAATCAACCGAGAGATTGACGAATTCGTCGAGCTCATCGACTTATCTACTAAGAAAAAAGAATTGCGCGCGCAGATGGGCAAAATGAAAAATTATAAAATTTAAAAAATTTTAAAAATTTTAAAAGGTTTTAAAATTTAAAAATTTTAAATTGTAAAATTATAAAATCTTTTAAACTTTAGATTTTCTAGACTTTTAAAACTTCTTCGCAAAATATTTTTTAATAAACCTAGAAACTACAAAGTAAGGGTGTTAGAGATGTTTCTTGAGTGGGGAGCTCGGATTTTCTTTTAGCTAAGTTTTAGCTAGAGAAATAGAAAAGAAAAGAAAGGTAAAAAAATAGTAGAAAAGGTGAGAGTATAGAAAAAGTGTAACCTGTATTAAGGAGAATTTTGGCTTGTCCAATGGTGCTGCATTTTCTGTGGGCCGTCCTCTTATCGAGTGTGCGAGTAAGATTTTCAAAGTATAAATACAGAATTATAGAAAAGTCTATTTCCGAGATTATACTTTCCCGGGGTGACTTGGCCGGTTTTTATATTACTGCGCCGATTCGTTCGCTGTCTTAATTCTAAAATAGTGAAGGAGTGAAAAATGGCACTCTGTGAAAAATTAAGAAGATTTTTTATCGTGTGCGCGAATATCAATCCGACGATAAACGCGAGTGCTTATATTTCATTATTAACAAATGAAGAAGAAACAAATTACATCACGTTTACAAAATTTGTACCGGAGTGCTCGAAAACCCTATTGAGCATTATGTTCAGATTAGGGTATTTCGCGGACAAAAGACTTTTAAATATTGTAAAAGAATATATAACCGGTGCAATAGCTGGCGTGGGGGAGGATGATGCCGGCGGACATATCGCTTATTTTACAAGGTGCACCGGAGGAGGTAAATATTTTTAAAATAATTGAAATTAGAATATGTAGGTATAAAAAAATTCTAAATTTAAATATTTTTTAAGAGATAACATCGCGGTTGTACATCCGTACCAACGAGGATTGAGACGCCCCGCCGAAGATGAGGCGGAAGGAGTAAACGAGCGTGAGTAAAATAATAGAAAATTGATATAATTGAAAATCTAGATTTCTAAATTTTCAGATTTTTAAATTAAAATATCGAATTTTTAGGACGAGTGCGAATGCGGATAGACGTGTAACCTGAGGAGGAGGAGGGTATCCCGGTTAATCTAGTTTCAGGCAAGAAAATAGCAAATATTGCTTTCAAAATTATCTCACTGAATATCGACTTCAATTAATAAAAGCTTAATTTTGTTTTAGATGTGAAAGAAGATATCGATAAGGAGCCGACTCTGAGCGAAGCCGACACCGAAATTTACATACCGCGGGAGTAATTATTTAAAATAATAAAAGTTATAAAACTCGTATTAGCTAATTCTTGAAAAAAGATGATAATAATAATAATAATAATAATAATAATAATAATAATAACGACTTCTTTCTTTTTTAGTACAAGCAAACGACCTGAATAAATCCGAATATGGAGAAGAAGAAAATGAGGAGGAGGAAAACTAAGAAGAACAAGAAGAAGATGTAGATGAAGAAGGAGTAGAAGTTGACGAAGAAAAATAAGAAGATAGAGAAGGAGAGGAAGAAGACGATGGCGAAGAAAATAGGAGAAGAGCCTTTGAGCAAATATGCGATGGGCTTTTAGAAGAAGAGGTCGAGGTTTTCCATCAGTGCGAAACACGGACGGGCTATTCTCCGGAAAATTATGAAGGTAAATTTAATATTATTTTTAAATTTTAAGATAATTTATTCTTTATTTTCGATAAATTTATAATTAAATGTTTTTTTTTGCTAGATTAATACGCTCTATAAAAGCTTTGTAAAAGCGAAGAGGAAAGCTGCTCAAGGTAAGAGATACTTTCGGTATGCTGGAATCTATTCGCTAACATAAAAATCGAGTATATATAATTAAAACATTTATCATTAATATTTTTTGTTTCCCATTTTCAGTACAAACAGGAGGAGGCGTTTCACGCGAAGAAAAACAAAAGATCGTTATTTATACTTACTTCAGAACCATTCGACGGATCTTCAACAGCATCACCAACAGCAACATCAACAGCAGCAGCAGCAGGAGCACCGGTTAATCGACGAGGATGCCGCGGTCGACGACAGCGACACGGTCAGTGAAAATTTCACTTATATTGTATTACGGGCGGAAAACTCGCGTAAATTTCAAAAATTTGAAATACTAGGTAGGGAGGCGACATTCGCGATACGTCCTCTCGCGGAAGGTGCTAGCGATATCGTGAATTATTTAAAAAACGCGTTTCGCGAAATCCACGCGTATGCGATACGTTTGAGCGGACCGGGCGATTACGTGGAGTTATCCTTCGATTCGACAAATTTATCGCATGGTCTTGCAGGTCTTTTGTTTCCGGCGCGAGATTTGACTCACGAGGACATATGGAAACTCGTTCGGTTCGCAAAGCGCCGGGGGTTTCGATATCGCGATGGATTTCACCATACGCGTTTTTAACGTAGCGGTATTTTTGGGGCGAGGGAGATCAAATAAATTAACGCGAGAAAGCGTCGCGAAACGCTCGATTACAATTAACATTTTACAAATAAAAAATTCCGACAATCTATGTCTTCCTCGCTCCCTCGTAGCGGCGAGGATTTACTGCGAGCGTGGTACTCTGCGCACGGGAGAAATGCACGAACGGTGGGAATCCGTAAGATACGCGACTTCTTCGTTACAGCGTGAATTGTCGATTGAGTTAACGAGGAGCGCGGGTGTGATCCCCGAGAAAGGTTGCGGATATAATGAAATCGAGCGTTTTCAACGGTTTCTCACCGCGGAAAATATCGCTATAATAATTTATAATTTTAGTAGTTTTGGTCGAGGTGAAAAACCGATGTACGACGATCGCGCATTACTCGCCTCCCTCGGACGCGAACCTTCGTATACATTAAATATAATGTATTACGAGGATTCGCGTCATTATAACCCTATATTAAATTTAAAAGCTGCAGGCGATTCGCGCGGCGGTTAGAGAGAGACAGATATAGAGAGATAGGTAGTGCGGTGCGTGTAATCTACGAGTCCAATTCGCTTTTCGGGCTGCGCCGCCTGTGGATCGTTTTTTGCGATGGTATGTATTTGGTGTTTCAGGCGCATGTGACGCCGCAGTTCGGTTCTACGACTGAGAGTAGTGTGGCAGACGATGCAGGTAGTCTGGTTGCGATGCACTTCGAGATGCTGGGTCAGTGAGGCAAGGTGCCTGTAAACGTTTCCGCAGAGTCGGCACGGAAAATGTCCCGGGCCCTGCATCACCACCTGACCAGTATCGCCAACGTGCTTCCGATTGCGTCCCACTCTCCAAGATTTCCTTACTCGTCTAGCCAGTCCCTTCTTTCTTTGAATCTTATGACGTGACATGTTCCGTGTTACACTCGGACTTGGAGATCTATCATGATGCTCATTTTCTAGATAGTAGGTATCTAGGTAGGATCTAGTGGGTAGACATCTAGTCAGGTTAGATTACCAATTCTTTTAGAGACTCCTGTACTGCATCCTGCGTCGCCCTTTCTCCCGAAGTACTTGGTTTAGATAGCAGGAGTCCAACATCTGCGAAATTGCTGCGAAACGTGCAACGAGGGCTTTCGAAACGATAGGGGACATCGTTGCGCAAAAAAATGCCCTCGTTGTCGCGCCTCACCTCCGTGCGTAAATCGTGATAGAGAAATAATTAGGTGCGAAGCGTGCAACCGTACGTTTTTCGGTCATTCTTGTTTCGAGCGTTACCAAATCGAAAAATCATATAACGGAAAATTTCGCGCGAGCATATGTAATTCCGTTAAAATTTGTAGCGATTGCGGGCGATTTATACGTGTAAACACGGTACATAAATGCGACACGGTCTTTTGTAAAACATGTCGTTCGTTACAACCGTCGAATCATCTGTGTTTCATGCGTCCTCTTGCTCGTAAAGCTGATCCCGGCATGAGTACAAGTACCCTGATAATGCGAGCAGAAAAAAAGGTGTGTGAAAATGAAAATAATAACGTTGCGATGAACGAACAAACAAACGGTCGTGTCGCGTTTATATTTTACGATTTCGAAACGCAGCAAGACGAGACGCTCGTAGGTACCGAAAACGTGAGAATTCATGTACCGACTCTTTGC